CGTAGAAGCCAGGGCTCATAGGGCAGCCCTGGTCGAGGCCGCGGATCTGGTCGACCAGCTGGGCAGGTTGGGACCCACCACCCGCCGCGTGGCGTGTGCGAGCAGGGGGCCAGGCCTCCGCCAGCGGCGCCAGGGCGGGCACCTTGGAGCGCACGGCCTCCTTAACGAGGTCACGGGGGATGTTGCTGAACGCATCCCCGAGGTCCACCGCCACCACCCACTTGCCAGGGCTCGAGTTGGCCATCGTACAGAGGCGTCGGTGGAGGGCACCGCAGCCGTCCTTAGCCAGGCCGAACTGTTGGTCCCCCACCGCCGCCCGCATGTCCGCGCGATGGACCTTGGCCACGCTGCGGCCCACCATGCGGTGGGTGACATTCCCACAGCCCAGGACTCGCGCGTCCCCAGGGGTGGCCTTGGGTATGCCTGCGAGGCGCGCCGCGGTCAGGGCGGCTAGAGCTTCGGGAGGAAGGTCGCCGATGGCCAGGCGCGCCAGCGTGTTGGCTACCGCCTCCGCTCCGTCTTCGTCGTGCTTGAGCGGAGCCCAGTGCTTGTGGCGTCCGCCTCCAGGTCCCGCACCGCCGCGGCGGGGGAAGCGACCAAACTGGCGCTTGAGGTGGTTGGCCACGCGGTGGTGTAGCTCTGCCGCGCCGAGGAGCTCATGAGGGGGCGTGGCTGGCGGCATCGCCGCGTCGGCCCCCGCCGCGGGGGGCCCCCCCTGGCCCATGCGGGGCGGCCCCAGTGCCAGGGGGAGGGCCCCATTCGCTTGGGCGAGGCACCGCAGGCTGCTGGGCGGTGCTAAACTTCCGAACCACCGCCGCCGCATCCGCCATATCACCCTGGGGCCACATTGCCGCTGCCGCCCGAGACATTTCGCCCGTTCGCGCGAGCTCAGTGACACGGCGAACGCGGGCCGCGACGTGGTCTTCGCGGCCTTTCGCGGTGACCGAGGTGCGCGTCTGGTCCTCCATGGAGAGCCAGGCGACGTCCCATTGGCCGTCCTGGATCCACTGCAAGCGCTCCTGGAGGCGTTCTCGTCGCGTCGTCGGGGTCGGGGTCGCGTTCTCGCTGAAGAGCAGCCCGTCCAGAGCTAAGAACATCTTCCACAAACGCGTCAAGCGTGCGCGACGCCAGGCCGTCACCGCCCTGGCGGGCCTGCTCGATCGCCAGGCACAGCCGCACCTCCACGCGGCTAACCGCGGCGGCCATGCTGTCAGGGATCATGGCCGTGGCGGGCGCGCCCTGTAGCAGGATGCGGTCCCACCCGATGGTGTCCCACCCATCCAGGTTGACAAACCGAATCTCATGGTACGCATCTTCGTCAGCCACCTGGTCGTCCAGGTAGTCATCGTAGACGCCTGCTTCAAGCCCCCCGTCGTCGTCCGCGGCCGCGGGGGCGTCAAGGGGCGGCTGTAGGATGTCCGCGGGAGACGGCGCCTCCGCCTCGGCTGCCACCGGGGGAGCCCCACGGGAGCCTGGGCCATACGCCCCTGGCGCGGCGGCGGCAGGGAGCCTCGGGGCGACCCCAGCACCCCCTGCCACGCCGTCCCCCTGGGAGGGAGGAGTGGGCACCTGGCCTTCGACCGTCTCCAGCAGGGGCAAGATGGGGCCGCCTCGGGCCTCCAAAGCAGCTGTGAGGTTCTCCCTGTCGCCCTCATGGAGCTGCGTGTAGCCCTCCATCGCCGTCGCTGGTGGCAAGGGGCCATCCACGCAGGTCATGTGGAACCACTTCTTGCCCGCGTGCGCCTGGGAGCCCACGGGGCGCGTCACGACGCCTGCCACGCGCCACTCGCCCGCCTCGAAGCCTCCCATGCAGCGGGTGCAATGGGCTTGCTTGCCGCGGGTCGCCTGGGCGCTGACGCACCAGCGAGTGATGCGTCCTCCCGTCATGCGGCGCCGTCGTTGCGCCGGCTGGCCTTCACTGTCCCGCATGTGGACGTCGGTGCCGCCGTCCACTGGGACTTCTGGAGCGCTTGCATCGGCCGATGCGAGTGCGGCAGCGGAGGCGCACGGGGCGGCCCCGGCACCTCCAATGCCCGCTGCGGCTGCCAGCGCACCGCCTTCACCTCGGGCCGCCGCGTCGTTACTCCCAGCCACTCGAGCCCCTGCACCTGCGTCCGCAGCGCCGCCAGCGGCCGCCGCCATCCCGGGACCTCCCTTCAGGGCAAGGAAGAGTGTGCGTAACGGTAAGGGCACGAGAAAAGGAAGGGTGGCTGCCACCCGCGGTTTGAGGGCAGCAGTAGCCCCCCCGCCCACAGGCTCCCCCAGAGCCTTGGGGGGACCTACTACTACTACTACTACTACTACTACTACTACTACTACTACTACTACTACTACTACTACTACTACTACTACTACTACTACTACTACTACTACTACTACTACTACTACTACTACTACTACTACTACTACTACTACTACTACTACTACTACTACTACTACTACTACTACTACTACTACTACTACTACTACTACTACTACTACTACTACTACTACTACTACT